ATCGCAGCACGAGTTGGCAGGAGCATATCGGGCGAACGGTCAGGTCAAGGATGCGGTGCGACTACTGGAGGAGGTGGTGCGGATTCAAGGGCAGACGCTGGCAGAGGATCATCCTTCTCGACTGGCATCGCAGCACAATCTAGCCATCATGTTATGGGATCTGGGCCAACATTCTGCAGGTCTGCAGTTGATGAGGCATGTCGTGGAGATTCACAAGCACATGCTTGATCCCGGTCATCCCAGTCGCAAGACGTCCGAGCGCTGGTTGCAAGACTTCGAAGACGAAAGTTCCCAATATGGGTAACATGCATGACTTGGACTCGGAAAGATACTTCGTTGCAGCTCATTGAATCCGAGTTCAAGGGTCTCTTCCATGAGAACGGCATGTGAACGTATGATAAACTAAAGTGTGATCATCTTCCAACGCAAAGTCGACCTTGGCTCGAACTTTAACTTGGCCCCTAGCATAAACTTCCCTACTGCCAGGAGTGGTGATAGAATTTAGAGGCTGCGGCACTGCAGCACTGCAGTTACAATATGTATAGTGAATATAGTTAGCTGTACCCTGCGGCAGGCGCACACGGCGGTTATGAGACAATCACTCACGTGATTTCACGTGAGTGACTAGCGCGCCGAGTAAAAGTATTGCGGAAATCGCCCATTATTTTCCGATACTAAGCTTCCGCAGCTACCTTAGATTACGATGCGATGTGCTTCAACTACAAGCCTCGAAGCGCTTTCCCCTTAGATTCGCGCAGATTTTCGACGGTCTCTTCGTATAAAGGACGATAATACATCACGGCCGGCGGATCGGGCCTCATTTACGGGATCGACAAGAAAAGAGTTGTAAAACAATACTTTAAGGGCGAAGAGAGTGGTGCTGAGCGTGAGCGTCAAGCATATGCACGTCTCGGCTCACATCCAAATATTGCGAGCTATCTAGGTAGTCTCAAAGATGGATCCATAATTCTGGAACGAGGGCAACCCCTTCGGGAGAAGTATCGAAAATCAAGTGCGGACAAGATTCCATTGCATAGGAAACTTCGCTAGTTGAGGCAGGCTGCAGATGGTATAAGATACGCGCATGAAAAGGGCATTGTCCAAGCCGATGTTGGATGCCATAATATGATGTTAATAAGAGCCCGTAGCCTGACGGGATTGATGGGATCCGATTGCCTGAAATTGATTGACTTCGGAGGTGCCAGTATTGATGGTGGAGAGCATGGCTCCTGCTATCAGTGGTATAATTATCGACGATCAACACCGGAAGTAAGTAAGCAAACCGATATTTTCGCGTTTGGTTGTGTGATATACGAAATCCTGACAGGCAGATACCCATACCACGAATTCGAAGCATCCGATAATCGGTCACACCTTGTCGAACAACTATATGAAGAGAACCAATTTCCAGATATCACAAATCTACCTTTGGGCCAACTGATGCAAGGCTTCTGGCATGGCACTTTCAATTCTATGACCGAGGTCGTTCAGGTGTTAGAAGCGGCAGACTCCGGAACCTGGAGGTGTTTATGACCGCGCTCAAGGAAGAGGAGGCGCGGATGCCAGGCCAGCAAGCTATGGAGCTCTCTCGCCTAGTGAGGCACTCCGAGGAGTCAGGGAGCATGTGACTGCACATGTTACTGTTGTAGGGGGTCAATCACCCGGATAGCCTACTCGTCACGCAACTTCAGGCGCGCCTCGGGTAGGAGCGGTAGAAGGGGCAAGAGGAGGGCCACCACGGAAAGGAGGCAAGGGCGTTCACGGAACGGAAACTAGCGGAATTAGACAAGTATGACGAGATAGTGGAGAGGATGGAGTGTCTGCAGGATGATTTAAAGAATGGGAAGATGACGATAGAGGCATTCGTTGCAGAATCAAACGGGTTTGGAAAGCCTTGATTGATTACTGCCAACGAATGGCTGAAGTTTCTGAAGCTGAGTTTCGGTGAATGCTTCTTGTCGGAACCCCACAGAGTAGTCTGGTTGAGGTCGTGTTTTAGTAACAGGAATAGAATTGTTCCAGCCTTCGTTGGTGCTTTCAATTAAGCAGTCAAGGGCAGTAGCACCATATATTGCAAAGACTTCTGCTGAGGGCACGATCAACTGAGAAAAGTCTCGGATAACCCGAGTTTTATTTCTGTTCGTATCTTACGGAAGGTTGAGTTGAACAGGTCCTCATAAAAGAGCGAGTCCTTTAGTACAGGCTGCGCTTTCTCCAGGAGCCCTCGGATAAGAGTCCTACTTTTATCGTCGACACTAAGGTCTAATGCGTCCATGAAACTCCCTTTTGCCGCGAGTAGAGCCTCATAACGTGCGTCCTTATAAGGAGCACTCTTCTCCTCCCTAGCCTTTTGGTCACTCGGTGTGGTTAAACTGGGTGCGCCAGACTCGCTGTCCGATCGCTTTCGGCGAAGTGAGGCGGTGGATTTCTTTCTCGTCAATATGTGACTCATTTCTCCGCTTTCGTTGAAGTATCCTTACGGCTAGTGGTATGTCTACGTCCAATATATAATAGAATCGACGTCCTGAACTGAGGATGTCGGGCAAGAGATTTACGGTCGTTTTGGAGAGGCCGGGTTTAGTTGCTGTTCAGTTTCTCGTTTCCGCTTGGGAGGCTTCAATGATAGAAGGGTAGGAGGTGGGTGCGCGCGCTGTATCGGGTCAGTCTTCCATCACGGAATAAAGTTGGCGGCTTATATTAGAACTTTTAATGTCGCTGACTGGAGATGGTAGAGGCTGGTGGCTGGCTTTTAGTTGAGACTCATTAACTTCAATCAAGCGGTCTAAACGGGCGCTCCGTCGAAGAGCGCTTTGCTTTTGTCCCTTCTTGATGCCTTGAGGGCGTTCTCCTTTGCTGGTGAGTCGAGTATTGAAGGAGGAAGCGGATAAATGACCTGGATGTGGCAGCTTCACGGACTGCCTTCTGGTCTTCTGAGCGGTGACACTATCTCGTGGTGCCATAGTTGCTCGAAATGAAGGTGAAAGGAATGGGCAACTTCATGTAGTTACTAGAGCCAGTGCAGTCGCTGTCGGAACTTAAGCGACCAGACTGGGTGACATGTGACATCACACGAAAAGCGGATGGTTGGGCCATAGGGCTTCTTGGCAACCACATGATGCTCGCTAAACCTACCAAAACACTTCTTTGGTGCGTTGGGGCCCCCTTCCCACATGTGGACGGCGCACGAACAGGGAACCACAACCATACACACTCAATCCATACTAGCAGCCATGTTCTTACTACTGCTGCAATAGAAGAGTACTATGTCCATGCACTGAATGTTCTTCCTCAGCGCCAGAAGATTACTACTCTCACCCTCATGCTTAACGTCGTCATTATCTTTCTTATCTTCATCACCGCCGGCGGGGGGTGTAGGAGGTACCGCTTCCAGCCTGTTTAATGAGCAGAGGCCCGACTCCATGTCACTCGAATCCCGAGGGTCCTGGTAACGGGTGGTCATACTTCCACTTCCACCTTAAGAGGTCGTATACTTTGCGGTAATCCCCGGTTCGCCTAGTTAAGCCCCTACCAACGTTTAGTGCCATTCATTGTACTTCTTCGTCACCTTGGTGTGCACTATGAATCAACCTCCTGGTCCAGAAGTTACCTAGCAGACCCTATTCCGTATGGACAAAATCCACCATGTCAGGCCACTGGCTAGAATCCCGTCGCATCCCTATCGTTGGGATGAGACGCTTAGGTGCCAACTAAAACGCATGGCGGTGACTATCCTTACAAGGCTCTCCTTTATAGCTGCCTTTCCGTCCTTGAGACGACAAACGGGTTCTTCGGTCAGAATATCTGTTCTAGCTCGTGGGGTATGCGTTATTTACCCAGTCGACATAGATGAATCGGAATAGCCAGGCTCAGTCGATGATCTACGGCGGTAGGGATGAACAGTAGAATCTGATCCGATGTTGGCTTCCTGATAGCTGTGTCATAGAGTGAGGGTGGACAAAAAAAAAATAGAACAATAAGCTAGGTTGTTGGCTCTTCGTCAACCCTGTCTACCTGGATCTACCTTTCCGTCCAAATAACGGCGAAAGCGCCAACATGCCTGAGCAATAAAGCACTTTAACTCGATCTTCTCGTGGCGATACGGAACGTAGGGGGGAAGCAGGATGATGGCGAAGCTTGGCCTAGACTAACCCAATTCATAGAAAGGGAACTTTTGTGACCATGACGTCAACTAGAATCGAGGCTAAGTTATGGGCACTGTAGGCTGGGCCGAGGCGATAATTTAGCAACTATAGGCGGGTGCTGGGAACAGGGCCCCTAGCCCAGATATAGCATGCGAGCAGAGCAGCACAAGTCAATGATATCTCGTAGCGCAGATTCACGAGCGCGCGCTATAATAAACATGCCACAACCATAACTGCATTAAAAATGCGACCTTGCTCGAAACCTGGCACACATCACACCCACCCCATCGGTAACGTCGTCCTCTTTTCAGGGCACCAGAATAGCTCTTCCCCTCACGTTTCCCGCCGAAAGATCGTCAATGGCTTTCTGAAAGTCCTCCAGCTTGTAGACGGACGTGTGCAGAACCACCTTGCCCTGGGCGGCCAACACCATCAGCTCGGCCAGGTCATTGTACGACCCGACCAAGTTGCCGATGAAATTGATCTCGGTCGAGATGATGTCGATGGTGGGGACATTGATGTTTTCTCCGTATCCGACAATGTCTGTCTTTGTTGCTCAGCGGTCTATTACACGCAAGGAGAAGGGTGCGATGGAGAATCTCATTGTATGGTAGAAGAGGATAGGGAGACACAGAGAGAGAGAGAGAGACGTACAGTAGTTTCCTGCCCGACGGAGCATGCGCACCCCGGTAGCGGTAGAACCGCCTTCGGCGACGAAGTCAATCACGGCCTCGGCGCCTTTCCCTCCCGTCAGAGACAGGACCTCTTTGACAAAGCCGTCGTCGTTTCCCGCCTGGACGACGTGATCGGCGCCCAAGTTCTTCGCCAGTCCCAGAGCATCCGCGTTCCTGTCGACCACAACGACCGTGGCAGCGCTGATGGCCTTCATGACCTGGATCCCGATATGGCCCAGGCCGCCGGCCCCGATCAAGACGACGAAGTTACCAGGTCTCAGGGCCCGCGCGGCTTTGGCGCAGGCGTGATACGCCGTCAAGCCCGCGTCTGCCAGGGCCGCCACGTCGGCGGGCTCGAGCTTCGGGTCCAGCTTGATGACGCTGCGCGCCGTCGTCTTGAGATACTCGGCATAGCCGCCGTCGGCGTCGATGCCCGGGAAGACTGAGTTCTCGCAGTGCACGTCGTCGCCGGAGCGGCACGCGCGGCACAATCCGCAGGTCACCAGCGGGTGCAGGATCACCTTGTCCCCGACCGAGAGGTCCCCCGTCACGGCCTCCCCCTTGGCGTGCACCCAGCCGGCGTTCTCGTGCCCGATCGTGTACGGCAGTTTCACCCCGGACTTGTCGGCCCACTGCCCCTCGAGGATGTGGATGTCGGTGCGACACACCCCGGCGGCGCCGATTTTGACAATCACATCGAGAGGCGACGTGATTTGGGGTTCAGGAGCCTCGGACAGCTCGAGCGGTTTGTGGTAGTCGACCACGCGGACGACTTTCATGGTAGCGGTAAGAACAGGCTATATATCTACCGAGTATATGTATCCGTTATTGTTCGGGAAATAGTTTGTGAGGATGGGCAAGACAAAGATACTCAGAGTGACAGATTTGAATATTGGACCTTGAAAGGCCGCGTTGAAAGGTGAGATTGTGGATCGGTGTCGGACCAACGGATCATTTGTATAATATAGGTATATGTTGATGCGTGCACGAACATCTGCCCCTTTTTACTGGCAGCCTTGTCTTGGTATTGCCTCGTACTAATTTCAAGTGAGCCTTTCTACCCCTCGTTTAGAATCGCTCATACGTGCACTTCTTCCTTCTATCTTCACACACCAACATGACATTCCCAGAGAGTCTAGTCTTTTTCCATTTCGTCTTGCAGCTCACAACTCGGATTTCGCTGCTCTTCCCGACTCAACAACTCGAACTCACGCGAGGAAAAAAAGTGGGAAAGCGGGAAGCGGGGCAACGTGCAGGACATTGACGTACGTGGACGGATGTGTAGGTAGTCAGACTCCTCCTCTCCCCTCTTCTGACGTGTTTGGCGAGTTGGGTGGTATCGCAGACATGGGTACGTGACTGAAAGCGGGGGAGGATGTCATGTTCCAATCCCATGAGCAAGATGGTCCGAAGGTAGGTAGGTACATGATCTACAATCCATCATCCACCATCCATCATCCGCTTCGTGATACAGATACCATACACAAAAGGTATTCACAGCACATTGACTCGATAATTACCCGCGTCGTCCAGCACGTGCTGTGCCTCGTCCCAGACATTGCGGACGATGTCTGCGTGCTTGTCACTTCTGACTCGGATGTCGCATCTAAATTCCCCGCGCACACAGGTCAGCAAGGCACGCCTCTCTCCATTTGTCGTATCTCTTTATTTCGGGATATAGACACGGGCAACGTCAACGCAGAATTAAATAGGCGGATGAAGGAGGACCATCGGGGCTAGGTTAGGAGGAAACGAAAGGGAAGAGGAAACACTCAACTTGAAAGGCAATGGCCTCGCGGCGATCGACTGCGTCAGCTCGTCCGGCACGACCTCGATCTCACGTCCATTCCCGTCCCTCGCCCTGGAAATCTCGAATCCCCACAAAATCCGCGCCATGCTCAGCATCATGGTGCCCTCGGCGACGTGGATGCCTGGGCAGATACGCCGGCCGGCCCCGAACGTCCAGTGGTCGCGGTCGCGCACGTCGCTGGCCAGCGCGGCCTCGCCCATGGACAGGCCCGGGTTCTGGCGCGACGGGTCGAACACGCGCGGCCGGGGGAACAGCGTCGGGTCGTTGTTGACTGCCCACACGGCCAGCACGATCGTGGCCCCTTGCGGGATTGTGTAACCGTCGATTTCGTCCTGGTTTCGCGCCGCGTGCGGGATCGCTCCGGCAACAGTTGTGGGCATCCCTGTTTGCGGCCAAATTAGCCCGTTGCTCACATCTTGTTTTTACGTGTGGATAAGGAGATGGATGGTGGATAATAGAGGGGTGCGTGCGTACAGCGGACAACTTCTTTCATAATTTGCCGAATATACGGCAGATTGGCGAGATCGCTGACTTCAGGTAGTCGATCGGACCCGACGACGTCGTCCAGTTGCGCACGCGCTTTCTTCTGGACATTAGGGTACAGCATCATGGCCTTGTGGAGGTTGGTTGAGGAGTCAGTTGTGACGACGGCTGTAACACAACACTCGTGATTCACCACTTACCTTGATGAATCCCGCTAGCTGGTTGCTCTGCGTGTCTGTCGCTCCCTCCATGGCAATTCCAGCGATATATGCGGCGGCATGGTCCGTCAGGATGGCCCCTTCTGGCTTTCCCGCCCAAGACTCTTGCGCTCGAAGTATATCTG